CATATTTTGATTTTAAATTAGGCTTTCAAAGCACACTACTTGGGGATATGAAATAGTAAACGTGATGAATTAATTTTTGCTTTTAAACACACTTTATGGGAGAATCGTTGTCCCAGAGAGATTGTAACAAGCAGCAGTGTGGTATCACTAGATATTCTAGAACTGATTGCTATTGGCAGTATCACACTGGGGACGCTGGGCCAAAGTACTTGCATGGGAAACACACTCCAGCTTTTGCCTCTAGATAGATGGAAACATGATAATGAAAACATGGCCTTAGCCCACGGCTTTTTATAGAGGTAGCTGTTTGCCTCAAATAATTATATCTCCATTTGTGATAAAATGCCTACATAGCTTGTGTAAAACATATGTGTGATGTTTCCCTCGGCTTCTCATGACACATCAGCAGAATGGTGTGTGAATTCCATATCAGCATCTTCACACAGCAAAGCAAGAGAGCCCTTTGCTTTAGGAAGCAAAAATAATTTTGAAGAGACCTACCTGACCACAATCAAAGTTGACATACTCTGTATTTTAAGAAAACATAATTCAATACAATTACGTTTTTGCTGACGGAAATTTTATACATAATGAGATGCCAAACCCTTTGGACCATATTCATGTTGGTACTGACTGAATTCAGTGGAGATGTATTAATATACAGCAGAGGTGTTCTGCTAGTTTACACTAACCTAAAAGGGGATTATCCAAGTGATAGAGAAGTCTTTGATAATATATTCTTTCAGCAAAATTATAGAGTTGGAAAAAGCAGGCAAGCTCTTGCAAATAAAGAGTTTTTTTCAGGTCTGTAATGAAACTGGAACTTAAAAACACTTGAGATACCTCTTTTGTGTATCAATTTGTCTAACAAAGCAATGGCGTCTCCCTGCAAACTTCACTGAACTTATGTCCCTGGCTTATCAGAGCTATTCCAAACTTCTATAGAATCACAGAATGGTTTGGGTTGGAAGGGACCTTAAAGACCATCCAGTTCCAACCCCCCTGCCATGGGCAGGGACACCTTCCACTAGACCACGTTGCTCCAAGCCTCATCCAGCCTGGCCTTGGACACTTCCAGGGATGGGGCATCCACAGCTTCTCTGGGCAACCTGTCCCAGTGCCTCCCCACCCTCTCCAGGAAGAACTTCTTCCTGATATCCAACTTAAACCTCCCCACTTTCAATTTAAACCCGTTACCCCTTGTCCTGTCACTCCAGACCCTTGTAAAAAGTCCCCCCCAGCTTCCTTGTAGCCCCTTCAGGCACTGGAAGGTGCTATAAGGTCTCCCCAGAGCCTTCTCTTCTCCAGGGCTGTCTGCCTTGCAGGAAACACTGGTGGATCAGTGTGTCCTCTTCGGTTTATGCATGGCTAAAAATCCCCCAGGTTTTCTATTTCTACCTCTCAGAAGCCCCCCCAAAAATTCAGCAATAAACTCAGCTCAGAATTCGGAGTTTTCACAGCCACTGACTTGATTTATTTCCTTTTTATTTTTAAAAAAACCCAACAAAATACCCATACAAAACAACTTTCCTGTTGTTCAAACTGTATTGTTCGAAATGTCATTTCCAAATACTTGTCATGCTCTCAGAATCCCTGAAGTGTAAATAACAATTAGCAGAGCACAAGTGGTTCGGGCAAAGTTATTCTTAAGCAGATTCTCATCATTTTTCATGCCATGATTGCCCAGAAAACATAATCAAAATAATTCACCTTAGATGAATCCCAGCATCCACTGTGTTGATGCAGATCCCCAGCAAAGGGAGTAGATGGAGGGATCTGGTTGAAGGGCTGGATGTTGAGAAGGCAAAAGCCTCCCTTCGCTACCTGTCAGCAGCTTTGCTTTATGGCCGGCGGCTTGCGGGCCTGCTTCAACAACGACTTAAAACCCCTACAGTGGGTTTCCCGGCACATTAAAGCTTTGACTCAGTAATAAACACACAGCTTGTGTGGGATATTCGTGATTTAAAGAAGCAGCAATGAGGAGCAGTCTCATCCATGCCAGCCATTGAGTCTGGCGCAAGGAGTGGGAAAGGTGACCCGCTGGCTGGGAGCTGAAGGTCAAGGAACACTGCCGTGGATCCACAGGCCGTTGCAGTGGCAGCAAAGGGTCTTACTTCTATTTTTTTTCTGTGACCAAAACCACTGGGCAGATAATTAAATGCAGGTGAGATGAGACAGGTAATTTAGGACCTCTCACAGAGATGATTTGCCTCTGTCCATAGTTAAATACACACATGGCCAGTGTTTGCCTTCAAAGCTCCTTTGTAAAAGGAAGAAATGAATAGTTTTAGCACATCATATTGCAGTAACGAAAGCTTGTTCAGTTTAATGCTTGGATAAAAAACCCAACCCCAAAACACAGTGACAGTAGGGCAAGCATCCCCCTGAAGAGGAGGGGTGTTATGGTAGAAAGCTGGAGGTAGCCAGGGGGAGAGGAGAGTGCAGGCCTGTGCCAGAGAGGAAACAGAGCGGAGGGTACGGAGCTGAATCAGGAAGAAGCGGAAGGCCGCAGGCAGAATAAGGAGCATTCAGGGATACAAGCACGACCCTCAAAGAGGGTATAATGTAGCGAGACGGTGAATTAAAAACAAGCAAGGTGGCTGTGGCAAGAGAATAAGGGCTGACCAGCCGAAGTGGCAGTGTGACGAGAGTCAGAGCAGCCATACCTACCGGCTGACGTTCCCTTTACCACGCATGTGCCACAGCCTAAGGAAACTGCTCCTAAGGAAGACTTCAGCCCTTTCTCACCCTTAGTCACAAAACAGCTGTGCGACTGTTGGGAACACTCCTCCATTCGAGGAAAAGCACACAAAAAAAGCAAAGTTCAGCCTAGGCCCTTGGTGAGTATATAACATCATATGCACAGCAGCTCTCGTGCAGGGAGGTCTGGTGTGTCTACAGCAGTTGGCTTATGTTGGCTGCCTCTCTTGGGATTTGTCTGCGTTGAAAAGGATTAATTGCCTCAGGAATCAAATTGTGCTTTTAAAGCTGCTAGGCATCTGTGGGATACGCTACAACAAGCGTCAAGCGCTTTGACCCAGCCGTTTTGATGTCATGCTGGGGCCAACGTCCCTGCACGCCTCGGTCAAAACGAATGAAGCGTTATTCTCAGGTTTTTTCTCAGCCCCTAAGATACTTTCTTTTTATACATGTTTCAACAGCAGTGTTAAGTTCTACAGCTCTGGAGGGGTGGCTGAGCAAAGAAGGGGCTTCTTACTCCTGTAATCGCTCTGGGACAAATGTAAGAAGAAAGAGGTACTAATTATTGGTTAATTAAGAGGATAATTAAGAAGATAATTAATTATCCTCTTAAGATACCTGTCACAATCCCAGGCCCACAGCAGCCATTTAATCTAGTGGGAATGAGGATCTCGCTGAACTAGTTGGTGCCACTTAAACCAGGATTACACTCTCATCAAGGAACACACAGATAAACGAAGTTATGTGTGCTTCATCTTCATACTGACAGAGTCTGTCAGCAAGGAATCCAATTAGCTTTTCACTGAAGACAATGAAATTAAATCAAGAATGATTTTTGCCTTTTGGCTCTGAAATCTGTGCAACAACATGCGCTTCCGCTGTAAACATCTGCTTCATTTTTTAATTTTCTTTGTATGACAAAGTTCAACACAGGGAATTAATCCAGAAACGAGCAAAAGCTTCTCACAGCCGTAGACAGGGAAATCACAGAAGTACTTCCCCTCATAAAATGCTCAAGACTGACTTTTTTTTTGTTCGGTTGTGTCACACAGCTTTTATTTCCCATAGTTCAGATGGAAAAAAAAATCCCCAAACATAAACCACTGTATTATTTTTACACTAGTAAACTAAACGTAATCACAATTTTAAGTACAACTCCTCCAAAATTCATAGCTGCTTTTTTTTTTTTTTTTGCCAAGTACTGTGCCTTATGTTCTTTTCATTACACTAGAAATAGGCTTCAGTGCACCTCGCATTCTTCCTACGTTTTATAACAACAGATGAATAAGAATCACATTGAATGGCACCACTGCTAGTTGGTGTCTCCAGCTCTGCCTTTGAAAGTGTCCACGAAACTCCTTCTGGAGGTTTGGTGCCCATTGTGCAGTTGTCACGGTGCAGAATCTAGCCGTACGCGTTAGTCAGGTGCAGGCAAACTTTGCAAAGCTGTATGATGTGAATAGGTATCTAAATTAATCTAAATTCTTGAAGATACAGAAATAACCTTCTTGGAGTTGATCTGATTCAGAGATAAGCTGGGAATGTGTAAAGGAAAAGAAAGGTTGTCCCAGGATAAAAAATAATGTGAAGGGCTAAAGATGTACAAAACAATTAGTGGTTGGCTAATTACACGCCATTCAAGGTAGAATATTTTAGTGGACATGTTTAAAATATTGGCTAATATCAAGTTTATAAATTCAGATTATTTTTAATACAAACTCTTAAGATACTATACAAAATGCTTCCACAAACTTATCAAAGCATGCATAATTATAGGATGGTTTGCCTCTCTGATTGACTGAAGAAAGTCTGCAGAACAAATACGGTTTGAGGAACTGGCTGTGGGGATAAGCCATCATTGCCCTGAAAAACAGCCCTGTGCCAACTGTCGTGTGTGAACCAAAAAGAAGGACAGGAAGAATTTCCTTATTTCTGATAAAATTCCTTTCCCCCATTCACTGCTCCTCTGCTACAACACGAAGAGCAAAGGTTATGCCTTTGGAATGCAGCAGATTGCCCCAAGTGTTACGGGTTTGGAGTTGTTTTTCTTTCATTTTTCCCCTCTGGGGACACAATGCTTCTGGGGATCTCTCATTTCCTTGACAAACTGCACGATTTGATTGCCGGTTCCAGCACAGCGCATGCAGTTTATAAGAGCAGCGCATTTTTTCATTCTATAAAAGAAATAAAGTCACTAAAAAGTCTAAGAAAAATGGCAAATTCTCAGGAAATAAAAACTTCTGCCTCCGTGTGTGTGTGAAGTTTAATAGCTTTTGAACGAAGGGACATTTTTATTGCTTTGAGGCATTCACGTATTGCATTAGGTTTTATTATTTTGGAAGATGGAAGTTTGAAGAAAGATGCTCTAAAAGACCAGATAAAAGTGATGTTACATCGAACAGAGAATATTTGCATTTCATTTGTTTAAAAATAAGCTCTTAAAATGCGTAACGCGCTGCTTCACATGTCGGCCCGGACAAAGGAAGCAAAGATGCCGTCTTCTCGAGAAAGCAGGTTCTCAGGCGTATCATATTCCAAAATGTTCCCTCGCTTCATGACGATGACCAGGTCTGCCGTGAGGATGGTGTGAACCCGATGCTGCGGCAAAGAAAAGCATGCGGAAGTTTTCATTACGATCATTCGCACTGCAGTTCATTACTGGGCCTAAAGCAGAGCATGCCGAGTTGGTGAAAGGGTATCCTTGTTTACAGCGGTATTTGGAGTAGGTCCTTGTACTGTGTCTTTCATCTGAAGAGATCTCCAACTACTTTACAGCCTCTGGCACTCAGCCTGAAAATACTTAAGCATGCACTTCACTTTCGGTCCGCTAATTGCCAGTATGGACAGCACAGCTGTTGGAATAAATCCCATGGCATCACTGAAATACATCTTCCCCTTTGGGAAACGGGTGTGAAACATGCTGGGTACGCCTGCACTCTCAGGTGCCTTAGCATGCTGCTCCGCTCCCTGGCCTCTGCACCCCGAGGTGCACCACCTCTGCTCTGCGTCTATCTTAGGGCACCCCTGGGCTCTCTCCTGTAAATCAATTAGCTCCCTCTAAGATTCAGTTTGTGGGTGCTACAGGCAATAGTTTAGACTCACAGGCAGCAAGAATAGAATCACAGATTTGTTTAAGTTGGAAAAGACCTTTAAGATCAAGTCCAACCGTTAACCCAGCACTGCCAAGTCCACTGCTCAACCACGTCCCTCAGGAAACCCGGCTGAGTTGGATTTCAGTGCCGTACACATACAGGCAGTCATGTACAGGATGAACTCTAAAAGTGAGGTATCTCACTATAAAGGCTGAAGGTTGGGGATTACTTTATGGAGTGGATCCCTCTAACGTCATAGATTCGGCGTTAGCTGTCTAAGTTTTGATAAAAATAAATACTCATGAGATTAAGCAAACCCAGGAACGACACAATAAACACCTCCTTGCGCTGTCATCTCAGAAGTTGTGCAGTAGAAAGGAAGCAGAGTGAAAGGAAACTAAAGAGGTCAAAATAGCTACCAAAGAGCCAGAAGTCTCGTGAACAGTGTGGACTGAGAGAGTCTACTTGTGAGTCTTCACCAAAGTGGTGAACAGGCCGTCCTCTTTGAGGAGTAAGTTTGAGGCAGTGTCACATTCAACTAGAAAGCCCTCAGAAAGGACTAGGACAATACTGGCATCCAAGATGTGAGAGACACGATGCTGGAAAAAAGAAAAGAAAAACAGGTGGGTGAAGGAAGGATCAGCCACGAATGAAGAGAGGAAGGAAATGAAGCCGACTCCGTGAGGAGAGCTCAATATTAATATGTGCCATTTTGCTTGAGACACTGATTTTGGAAAGGCAAAGCAAAAGAAAAGTGGGATTTCAGTCAGAAGGACACTCTGAAAATCTGACTGGCGTGCAGCTCAAGGAGAACATGCTTCCTGCTGGCATCTTCAGCATTTACACATCCAGTGACCTGAGAGTCTGTTGTAAATGAGCTAGGTTAAGTGCTTTGCTCGACACAAACTAGTCACTGACAGACCTGAAGCCAGAGTCCAGGAGGCATAAGTCTAATCTCTAACCGCAGGACTGGATTCCAGACAAAGCAAATGAACCAGCTGTTGGAACACATATTTATCTCGTGGATAAAACATCTGTTTGTTGAGTAAGCCTGCCGTCACAAGGTGGAACACTGTGTATGTGCGTACGTGCGTATGCATGCACACACGTGTGCATACTTGCATGGACACACCGCACTTGGGGGCACTAGAAATGGCAGGAAAACAGGGAAAAGTAGCATAATCCCCTAGTTGAACAGATACTCATTTTTTGAGTATTTCCCATTGATTCCAATTTTTAAAACTTTTTTAAAACCAACTTTTTATTCTGAAAGAAAAGAAATGACCCAACTCAGGAAACCACAGCAACAAGCTTTTGAAATCTCAGCTCCTTTTATAAATGCAGCTCCTTTTATAAATCGTGCCATGACTGTGGACACGGTACATGCACTGACTTCAGAGGCAAGACCCAAACCTAGATTTTGACGCGCCTTTCAGTAATAGTTTAACCCGCGGGTTCCGTTTCGATTTTTTCATTGAGAATTACTTCAAATTAGCTTGGAGACAGTGTAGAAGTCCCCTGTCAAGTCCTTCTTCAGATCCAAGTGTTTTAGTTTGGCTCACTTGCAAGATAGCATTTACTGCAAAATTTCAGGTTGATAATATGTGTCTCAACACATTTTACTGTCTGGGAATATTCTGACCTTGCGTTTTAGTTTATTTGTTGATGGTTTTAGTTTTATATGGTGATGTTTAACTGGTGAAAGGCAGGATTAACTGCCTGAGGAATAAGGAAAAAGCATTTGCTGTTGATACTTACCGCTATCGTTACAACTGTGCGGTCTGCAAAGGCAGTCATCACAACCTTCTGCAAAATGTTTTCCTACCAAAGGAGAAGGTTTACTTCAGTCAATTCGCTCTTTTACATTTTAATTCATGTGTCTTCAAGTACATAAAAGAGAGGGTCATATGCCATACTATCTCTGAGCTGTGCATCAGATTCTCAGCAAGGAAATGCCACGCAGGGGATTTTCTAAAACATTCCATGTTGGGTTTTTTCCCTCTCACCCTAGGCATCAATCCACAAAACACATCAACGGCTGAAACCAAACGCAAGAGAAAGGCAAAAAAATCCCTGTTTTTTGCTGCTAAAGAGGTCTCATGGCTGACACTCAGGGAAGATGTTGCCTCCTCACCTAATAGATCCCTGCATCGATGGTGCCAATTGCTATACTCACTGTGGCCATGTCAATAGATGCTGTGGCTTCGTCCATGATGAGAATGCTACTCTTGCGGACAAAGGCTCGGGCTAGACAGAAGAGCTGCCTTTGCCCTACGCTGAAGTTCTCTCCTCCCTCTGTTACCATTGCATCTGTAACGAAACCAGTTACTTTGAACGTCGCACCACTGAAACGCTGGGTGTTCATACAGTCAGGACCCAGTCATTTACAGATGACATCCCCCTAAAAGACAGTGAGTATAATTTTGACTGAACACAGTAATGGAGCCATACCAAGAAAAGTGAGCAGAGCTCCTTGAGAAAGGAGCAATATATCTTTAAGCAAATAGTAGGCACAGATACTTAGTAAATCTGGTAGACTGCAGGATAATATCTCAGTAATAAGAACTACAGTTAATATGGAAAGAAATATGTGAGTTCCCTTTGTGAACCAGATCTGAGATGATAAGGAAAGTGCTCTGTGTTCTAGAAAAAGCTACAGCTCTGCTGGCAGAGCCAGATTCTGTTGGAGGAGCAGAGGTAAAACTGCTCTTTTTTAACTCCTTGCTGACTAGTCACCCTACATGATGAACATTCTAAGGTGCTGCAGGTTCTTGCCGGCAATGAGTGGAAAACCAGACTACTCTTCAGCTTTTTAGTAAGAACATTCTCTCTAGCAGAGAGACAGAATATTCATTAGTTGCCCATAAGGTGCTGCAGGTGCTTTTCTGCGATGAGTGGAAAACCAGACCACTCCTCAGCTTTTTAGTAAACACATTCTCTCTAGCATAGAGACAGAATATTCATTAGTTGCCCGTCAGCTCCCACATGATGGTTCAGAGTGTTAGATCCCATGTAACTGTTTATATGTGCGCATGCTCACGCATGCATAATTTCATTAATGGCCTGTGTTCCCAGAAACTTGGTTCAGACATACCAAGGCCTCCTGGCAATGTCTTGACCATGTTCTTCAACTGAGCAATCTCCAAAGCTTCCCAGAGCCTATCGTCAGTGCACTTGCATTCTGGATCCAAATTAAAGCTGCAAAGAAAACCATAAGAGGAGTCTCGCTACTGCAATGACAGTTCATTCAGGTCTTCTGCAAAGGAACATTCTGGCATTGTGCGTGTCACTTGACTTTCCTTGGACAGACTGTGCAGACAGGTTGGCCTGAGCTACGAAGGTTCCTTCCCTTTCACATCCCTTCCCATTCCACAGTGCCCATCACAAACACACCATGCAATGCTGCTTGTGTTCTCCTGATGGCATGCACCTACCGGATGGAGCCACTGAACAATATGGGATCCTGGAGAATAATGGAGAGTCGGGAACGAAGCGTATGAAGAGGCAATTTGCTGATGTCTATGCCGTCAATCACTATCCTCCCTGTTTAAAACAACATGCAGATGACACGTGAGGGAATTGCACAAAGGATGTGATCTGCAGGTAGAAGGCAGAAAGGGAAAACAGCTGCTTTTGGGCTGGACCCCAGATTATGAGGCAGCGTGCTGCTGCGACCCCTCGGCACCGCTATGAAAACACGGGGAAGGTGAAGGTGTGTCGTAACACAAGCCAGAGGGGACCCAGCTTATTAGTGACTCTCTCGCCTTGCTCTCTTTCTATCCCCTTGCCTCCACTTTCCCTTAAAGGAAATACGTGGCTTCCATGCTATGTGATTAATGATGGCACCAGAAGGATAGTTTGTTAAGGGGTGACCTGAGCTTTACAGCCAAACTGAGCGAGAACAAGAGTGACATGTCATTAGCCACGTCCTGTGTCTTTCTCTGTTCCCTTGACTTTAAAAGTTGCAGGAGATACTTAATTTGAGATTGTGCACGATATCTTTTGCATAATATATGTATGTATCTGCAATCCAGACATCAGGAGCCAAAACTGTCAAACTTTAGAAGGAATAGGGTAGCATTAACTTTTAATGAGGCAGATCAGAAAAATAAAAAGGATGTCCTACTCCAAGGTATTTGAATACCATTCATTTTGGTTCCTACAGCTCAGTTTCATTTGAGTATCTGGTTGTGAATTCGCGACATACTGTTCTGCTAGCATAAGATTACTGGAAGCAGCAACATTAATCACTCCTTAACCTAGTAGTTCATTCCCTGACAAGAAGTTGCTGCAACAGCTGGGATACTCGGTAAAGCAAGAGGATTTTTCCTTTTCTAGTCACTACTTCAGGTCAATGAGCATATGGATCTCATCTGAAAATCTGATTTATGATGTGTTGGGTGTGGCAACTGCTGATATTCAGGCGAGGGAGATGGGGGGAACATACACGAGAAACTGGTTGGCTGCTCTGTAAGTAGAAGAGGGTGAGAAGGGCAGAAGGAATCTCTTCCCTTGAATCCACAAATGAAAGCCAGGAACTACTGACCTCACTGACTTTCCCTGGATGCATAAAATTCCTCTGGGTTATGAGGAAGGGGTGGTCCAGGGCAAACTGGATGAGGATCTGGTAAGGGGTATTTTCATCGGGCTCACGTCTGCAGTTTCCCTGTGGATTACTTCACCAGGCAGCTGCACTCAGCCATGGGAAGTGCCTAACATTAAGCTCACCATTCGCTCTCCCAACAGTGAGAACCTAACCCTGAACTGAACTGGCAAATACATGGATAGCCAAAGCTGTGCACGTATACCTCTTCTGTTATTCCCAATTGCCACGATACTGCGTTTTGCAGGTTACTCTTTGTGGCCCTATTCCAATGAAAGACTTAATCTCTACCTAGTTGGACTACGATTAGTTTTATGCTTTTATTGGAAGTTCAGAGGAACCAAGATTTCATCTGTAGCGTGCAAAGTCAAACTGTTTTCAGACTTTTAGAAAGTCTGGATGAGGTCATAAGACTTCAGCATGAGACATTGGTGGTTGCATAAACTTAAGCAATTCCTTTTCTTCACAAATGAGGATATGAGAGAAGGTTAGCAGAAGATGAGGTGGATTAATGGGAGAAAAATTAATATGGCATGTGTAGGAATATGAGCCAGGGTATTCAAGGAAAAGAGAAGAGCAGATGAGGAGACCTAAGGGAAGAAGTAGATTAGACAGGAGTTGGGAAAGCAGGACAGTAATGAGGAGAAACCAAGCAAGACAGAAGAGAAACAAGAGGTGGTGTGAACAGAAGGTAAGAAAAGGGAAACACTAAAGAACAAAGAAGTGAGGGTAGGGGAATAACATGGAACACATACAAATTCAAAGAAATAACAGAGCCATAAGGCACCAAGAAGGGCAACATGAATGAAGTCTGGCTCCAGTAAAGTTACTCGAAATCATGTTATGTAATTTTTATTAGAGCTGGGCTCCACCCAGACGTGGACAAATATAGAGGCCAAATATGGGTCTAGCTGAGAGAGAGACAGAGGGATGTGCACAAAGGACAAGCAGAGCTTGATTAGTAAAGACTTAGGCATTCCCACTGGGAAAAATCAGGGATATGGAAGGAACAGACAAAGAAAAGATACATAAAGAAGATTAAAGTAGAAGGAAACTTAAAGTTGGCCATTAATATAACTATTAGTTGTTTGCACTATTTATATATCCAGGAACCTGGGTCATGAATCAAAACCCTATTACCATAGATACATATAGGCACAGAACCACAACAAAAGCAAGTATTAGCTGCATCATGTTTACGTATCCTCCCACATCCTACTGGGCTTTCCCTAGCAAACGTTACACATGCAATGGCTAAATTAGAAACATGTATATCTTTGAAACAAAAACGTGACTTTCCAGTAGGTTTCCATATTCCTGCAACAGTCCACATGTATATGTGTTATAAAAGCCAGGGTGCATATTGCTGCGTACCACTTCAATCCCATTAGCTGGGAGAGTGAAATGCTGCAGGAGTGAAAACAGCAAAATGTTTCCAAAACCTTTCATCAGTTTCTGCTGTAGCTGTGGGAAACCACAATAAAATAGAAAAGAAATATCAAGGGGATGGACTTGTTAAATTCTAGTTTCTATTCTGCTAACATTCTGACAGCTATCATAAGTTAATACAGTTATTCTTTAGGGAGAAATTTAGAGGCTCCAGAGAGTTGCATATTTTTTCCTCCTATCTTAAAAACGGCATATTATTTTGTCAGAGCATACGCAAAAAAAAAAAAAAAATTAAAAAAATTAGAAGCATCATCCGTGCGTAACATTTCCTGGAAGAACCAAGCGCTACGCACAGTAGGACACGTCGTACTTTGAAGGATCAGGCAGGACAAGTCCCATTCTAACCAAGCATCTTCTGAGCCAGAAAGCCAGGACATAAACTACCAAAAAGTCTCCTTGCTCCTTCTGCAGAAATGAGGGGGGAGCAGGTCAGGAGTGACCACCTACTCAAAACTTACCATCGAATATGTCCACCATTCTGAAGAACGCCAAGGACAGGGATGACTTGCCACTGCCAGTACGACCACAGATCCCAACCTGCAGAAGCAAGCAAGGTGCTAGTTACTTACAGAGGGAAGTTTTAAATCAGAATTGCAGTCCTTCTGGGAAAGCTGGACTGGACTGACTGGTGAGAAGAAAGATCCTTCCCAATCCCACTGGCAGACACCAGGGAAAAAGCAAAAGAGCATGGCAAGCACACTCTTCTCTTCTGCCTCTCAGCAGCATGAGGACTTGTCCCAGCAGCATTTTAGAAACTTCAGCATTTTGCCCTGGACTCCAATGACCTGTATGCTGAAATGTGAGAGGTTCTTGCATTTTTACTCAGTTCCAGTCCGGTGTTCATCTAATCTCATCCAGCCACCTAGGCTCCCTCTATGCAAGGGAGACTTGGAAAGAAGTGGGAATCTCAGAAGGAAAACTGGTCCCAGCCAAGAATAAGATGTCATCAGCCTAAGTTTCTTGACCCATGCCAAGGGACCTCAGAGAGGACCATCAATGCATACAGCTGCCACTGCAAACTGTCGTTATTCTCTGCTCTTCTGCCACATTAGAAAATAAAACGCAGGAAGGAGGGATCGGCTCCAGAATGAGGGTAACAGGGGATTGCTTGACATGGTACCTTTTGTCCTGGTTTGATATACGCCTTAACGTGCTTAAGAACAGGCTTCAGGTTGTTTTCATATCGAACACACAAGTTTTCAATCTTGATTTCCCCCTCCTGGGGCCAGTCTTTGGGGACTTGAGAGGGATCTGAAATAGTTACAGAAAAAGAAACTAAAACGAATGCCATCAAAGGGTCACCCTTTATGACATTCCCCTTTCCCCCTCTCTCCCGCCTGGAGATCTTCCTGAAGCCATGCAAGAATTGGAGCCCCAGTTCCCTGCTGAGGGGGAGCGGGGAACTGCCTGGCAGGCACGTCAGCACTTGGCTTCCAGTTCTCGACACATAAGACGAGAGGGCAAATGCTAAAGTGGGTCTTGACAACGAAGTGGGGAGAAGCCAAAGGAGCAGGGAAGAATGTCATGTCAGCACAGTGTTAATGGGTTCGTCGGTCAGTAACCAGCAGAGGAAGGGCAGTGCAAGGAAGGATGTTGTTACTGCCCTACAACAGGAGCGGTTGACACGACCACAGCTCATATTTCATCCTGATTCGCAAATACGCAGCCAGGGATGCGTGTCTCCAGGCCTAAGGGGCTTGTGTTTCCAGGGAAGTGCGTTGACCTGCGAGCTTTCTTGGCCTTGCACTTCAAGCACTTCTACAATGCCAACCGAAGCCAATTTGGGATACGTGGAGTATGAACGGCAACATGCAGTTCAGGGAAGAGTTGCTCAGGTCCAATTGCTAGCATGGCCCTGCCCTGTAGTCCCCATTTGCTGCAAAGACCAGAGGTTTTGAAGCGTGCGACTGACAGTGAATTTCTGATTTTTATCCATATCTTTGTTTTTTGAACAGATACATGGATGTTTTGTTCATCCTATCTGTGACTGGTACTTTCTGACTGTACTGCAGGGCCATACTCTGTCCCCCTGGCATTTGGTAGGTTTTTTTTAATGTTGACCAATCCAGAGCAGTGGGAGGTCCCACATGGCAGTGAGAACAGATTTTGACCAGAGAGATGTATACATTTTACATGACCACGTCTACCAGGTTTTCACATTACCACAGTAAGAACCAAAATGATTGGAGTGCAATACCCAAGTAGCCATCGTAGTTCTCCGACTCCATGTTCAGGAAGCTGTGCACCTTTTTTACTGCGCCCATCTGCACCTCCAGATCGGCCAGATTCCTTACCACCCAGTTCAAATAGTTGGTTATCTGCATCACAAAATGAAAACAAGGGCAGGGTTCAGCCTTCTGCCTGTTTCTACCTGTTTGTGATTAAAGGTTGGATAAACTTATAACAGCCTTTGGCCTGACTCAGCACAGGGGGTCTCTTACTTATGTTGCAATGATTCAAGACAGTGCAACAGCATCAAAAATGTAAAAATCCAGTTATACTCCAACACAAACAACCCTGATGCAGTAATTTAGTGCTTGGTATTCCCATCCTTGTTTTCTGAAGGAGAACTACGGAAAGGTTGAACCTGTACTCTGAAGATGTGACTCATCAGGGGAATCTCTTGTTCTCAGCATCTAGTAATCAGTACCAAAAGGCATCCTTTTTAAACACACAAACACAGAAAAACATCAGAAACCAGAAGCACTGTCTGGAAATACTGCATTTTCTAATCTTTCAACAACTGCAACTAAAGACTAAGCAAGTTTACTATTTGCAAATATATTGAAAAGATTTGATGGGCATTTAACTTCTGTTTCCTTCTGTGTGTATTTAGATAATTAATTCCTCTTTCTCTGTGGAAAATGTGAGGTTCTTAGCACAGAAATAAATGAGAAATAATGTACCATGAGCTCAAAGATACTTCCTTCTTGGTTTTTATTCCCATTTGTAATCAAAAGGATTTAATCAATAGTAACTGTATTAATTGTAGCAGATAATAGTTGATAATGAATTGTCTAACTTACAGCTTAGAGAAACTGATCTCCAATCAGGACTGACTATTTAAGGCTGAAAAGTGTAAAGCAAGTTCCTAAGTGTAAAAGGTTCCTAAGTCTGTATTTAGGGGCTCATATAAAAAAAGAAAAACCAATCTTATTAGGGACAGTTGGTTGCCAAGCACCTTTAAAAAATGAGATGCTTCACATGCCTGATTAAAGGTTTAGAAACTTAACTTAGACAGTGAAAACATCCTATATGCAAACACATTCAGAGAGAGGTTTTGTCATATTTTTGGGAGTGATTTGCCAAATTTGCCAAATAAGTTTATTACGAATAAATCACCCAGCCCCACTTCTTTTCCCCTTACCTAATACTGATGCAATAAGCATACAGTAAATAATTTCCACTGAGATTCAGCAATAATATTCACTGTCAATTTAGAGGATTTAGTTGCTTGCTTTATCCTTAAGACAGCATTACTCTAGGGGGTAGTGTGAAGTATTTTCTTTGTTGTTCAGAAACCCTCTGATTCTGTGTCCAGTTCTGGAGGCAGGAAGTTATGGAATTGGGTACATTTGCAGATAAACTAAACGGCCTGCAGAACTGCTGCTTGCGGGGCAGCAGGCTGCGATCATAGGTCTGGCAGGTTTGATATCAGAGCCTGGCATCCCACAGGCTCTACCCGTTCTTTCAACCTTCATCACAGTCGTGCAAGGGAGTTGGCAGTGTTCATACACGGGCAGAGACTAAGCTTATGGATGTCTACTGTAAACACAATGAGTCTGCTCTCATCCGGGTCCAAACATCAGCCCTCTCTTAGCTCCAAGCGGAAGTGAAACCTGTGCCAGGGGAGGATCCAACTGCATTCAAAGTTTCATCGGTGTTACTGTGGGGCAGGAGAGGGACAGGTGATCACCGGGTGCCTACAGCGTGTTTTCACTGCTATGCCAGACTTCAGCACATGGCTAACTTTCACACTAATGATCTGTTTGCAAATACAGACTACATACAAAGAAGCCAAAGATGATGCAGACATCTTGGCGCTTCCAGATCTCTGCTAATGAAGTAGGATTACCAGGAATGTTTTCAGAGTGAAGCTGAAACACTGGGACTGATTCTCGATTGCTGGCAGATTCTCACACTGCTGCAACAGCGGCACAAAGGGAATCTAAGGCCACCCTATGGCAGCTGCCAAGAACTTTCTGTTGTAACCATGGGGTCACCAGCATTTACGTGCAAAGCCAAATGTTAGACCCATTCCCATATCTCTCCCTCATACCAGTGCCATAAAGACACCAGATTTTTGCCACTCCAGCCACAATTTCAAAAATTCTTGCTGCCACTATGTTCATCCTGCATCTCATGGTTAACTCAGTGATATTTCTGCTTTCTATAGTGATCCTGCTCTGTGTGCATGATGCACTCTCAGCATCTCTTATAGCCTAGTACCCTAAACCACTGTTCCTTCTCCATGACTCAGCACAAATTGCTCAGTGCTAATGATAGAGTCAAAATGAATTAGCTAGCGTGCCACCAAAATCTCGTTGTTCCTAAACCCATCTCCTCCGCTACCTGTCTACCAGCCCCAAGGGTCCCAGTCCCCAGTCCATTCAGAATTGCATGGACAATACTGGTCATCTCAGTAGTTCCCCTCCAAAGGCAGAACCGGTATTTCTGGTTCTTCAGCAATTTCATTAGGTCTTTGGTTAAAGATTACCCAGGTTATGACAGTCTGTGGAATAGAGTTTTCTGGCCGGTTTTGCCATATACAGACAGAACCAACTTTGTGTTGTGCAAAACAGAGTGCGCAGCAGGTCCTCTTACGCATTTTTAATTTTCCTGCTCTGCTTGGGAGCACGCAGGGCCTGGGAATGGTTGTGTTTTTTTAATTGGCTCATAAACCTTGAAGCAAGTCCAAGTTGCCCTGAACTCTCTCAGCTTTGGCCCGAATCCATTATTTGCAAGATTGGTTTTTTTCAAGATTAAGAAAGCTGGAAGATAACCATGTATATGTATTTTAAAAAATATTATAAAATTAATACATTGGTCTGAAAGTCCTTACACATTGCCTAGGTACATACCGTCAGAGCGTACAGGAGACCTAGCCCCACAAACCCTGAGTTAGGCCCTTCAGTGATGGACGTGACCGCCGCCGTCAGCACTATACAAGCACCGAGGTAATCCTGGAACAAGAAAGAGGGGGAGAGAACAATTCTAGGCAACATTCAAATGCAGCAACAAGAAAATTTCTTCAGTTGCAGAGCAGGTTTGCTTTTCTGAGGATTATTCCTATAATGACACCTAGTCCTTAATTCTGGTTTGTTTTTCCTGGAAAAAGTCAGGGGTTGTGGTGCCCAACCTGAAACACTCTAAAGGCTGAACACAAGTGAAACAGGACAGTATTTTCTGTGCATCCATCTGGGCTAGGGTATCTTGTTGTGGCCAACCCAAAAAGAGCAGGTATCAAAAAAATCTAATGGACACATTAAAACCAAAATAAATTGTAAGAATGGCATAACGATGACACCCTAATTCCCACCACTAAAACAAATCAATTCTACTCTCCCCACTCTCCTTCAGGTCTTCTCAAACATTGGTCTGCCTCCCTAAAAACGAGAAGCATCAGTGACTTCACATTATTCAGGTAGAATTTTGGTAGAATTCATACAGGTAACACACATGTTTTACTGGCACAAGCGGAGAGACCATGCAATGGGACACCATGTGTGGTGAAGGCATCCCAAAGCCTGCTGTACCCTCACAGCCGGCAGTGACACACCGTGTGGATGTTGCTGGCAGTGTGGACTGGGAAAACAGGACAGCCGTGTAGTTGTGGTGCTGCAAACGGGCTACCGAGCCTTGCTCCTGTCACAGCCCACTGAGTTTCCGAGCGATTCCGTGGAAGGCACCTGAAGGATCTCAGCTCTGTTGCACGGTGATGACTTGCGTTACAGAAATTGCAGTGTAGGCTGCACTGCAAAGATCTGACTTCTCACAAGCTTTGCAGGAGCTTGCTCTCGTCTCCTTGATGTGTACCTCAGTTTTGAAGTGAATGCCACATGTGATCTCATGGAGCTGTCAAGGTGCCTGATTCATGAGACTGCTGCTATTCCCACTCTCCCACTGCTCCCTGCATTATATTTACTTTGGATTACAGGGTTAGCATTTTCCATCCATTTTTTTTCCTCTTGTCTGATAATATCCTGCCTGGAATCTTTCCTTCTGAGATTTGAAACGAGGGCTGCCTAGTTCATCTGTCTGTAAAAAGTGTTGATGAGCAGATGACAGACTCGAACTTCACAACTACAGGGAATTAAGGGTCTCGAGCCTCATCAGCAGTTGGGACCGGACTACAGAGTTGCTGTGAAATCCTATAAACTTTTGAGTGATCCTAGTACCACTGTGCCATTAGGCAGGACTAAACGAACTATTCCTTGGCAAGACCACATTATTTCTAATGCTGTGATGAAGTGATGCATATTCTTGAATCAGATTCATGCCGTATTGTAAGCAAGTCTAAGACTGTGAGACATTAACAGGCATTGCCACGGCTTATTCCAGGATTGGCTTCTGCTCTGTTACTTATCTGCCTTTGATTTGGAAGCAAGCTCAGCTTGATACTGGATGCTGTAGGAAGCTGAAAGCTTCAAGCACAATGGAAAGCTTTGCTGTGGTAAGAAAAAGAGCACGGCTTTGTTGCCTCACCACCGTACCAGGGAAATGAAGGTGAGGATGCAGCCTTTGATGTGAGGATTAAAAATGCCTGTTACTATCTGTATCTAGCAGAATCAGGTCACTGCTCTGTTTATTTACTGCTCTTTTAGTGCCAGATGAATAAGAAAATCACAGTGACTTTGCTTGCCTCATCTTGCCTTGCAGATCAGGAAGGTCCCTCATGTGCTACCCCTGGACAGCATCCCCCGAAAGCCAGGAGCCTGTCTCACTGGCAGTGGCTGCGTTGTGCCCTCCTGTCATCTGCTTTTCAGCTGGAGCCTAGTTCTGCCATCTTTTGTTGTACTGAACAGTCAAATCACAACAGCTCACAGCTACAGGAAGGGCAGTGCACAGGAGGGGTTTAAATTGCACCTGTGCTATTAAACCTGTTGCTGGAGAAATACCTCAGGACCTGGAAGCTCGGCGGTGCTCATCCCTGGCACAATGATGGCACGGTTCACAAAACCCCTGAAACACCATCCTCTGCTTTAAAGTAGCTCCTGCTGCAGGCAGGTCTGCAGAGGCTGCACAGTAGTAGAGAAAGCCTTATTTCAAGTTATGTAAATGTTTGTTCTTGCGCTCTCTTCAGCCGCTAGACATCACAACAGCAAAAGATGAGGGAGACTGGTGTTTTCTTACTCCTGGCCAAGAAAGCTGAAAGAACCCTATGGGTTTAACATAAACAATCCCGATCTATTTTAAGGAACAGCGTGTATAATCTCATTGTGAGATTAATTCTCATTATTATCTTCTCTGCATCAGGCAAAGTCTCTGTTTGCTTCCAAGGTTTCAAAACCACGGTCGGGACTAAACCGAACGTACCGTCCTGACCTCCAGCCATCTGTTGGCAGCCGAAAGAAATAAGTAGGCAATGTTGTTCGTGTCTGTTAGTTCCAGCATACGTTGTTTAAACCTGGCTTCGTGCCTGCCAAGAGCAAAGTTGTTACATTACAACACATTACACACGCATGCATGAAAGGGTGAAGCATTGAACTCTTCTCTCCCTCCCCTCTCCCCAAGCCAAAACTTTTTACCCTTCTGCTTTGGGTTCCAAACTCTTCCCTAAGGAGCTGGACCTGCTGTTAGGGCTCTTCTTAACCAGGCAGAGCTACACGTACAGTGGGGAGGAGTTTGTTTGATGCGAAGTTATATTGGACTAGATTTTGGATGGTACCCCCTCAGGCAGCCTGCAATGCTGGGGTGCTAGGGGCAGATATTACCCCCAGAGCATACCTGCCTTTATAGCTGTGGGTGGTGCTGCCCTCCAGCCCTCTCACAGGTGAGTAAAACCCGGTACAAGGATGTCAGACCACCTGAGAGTGGAGGTACACTTTGGGGAGGAAGGGGAAAATCTCTGGTGGCCTAAGTGTATTAAATTCATGGTGCCTTGCAGTACTTCAGGTATGAGCTGCAGTCAGATGGAAACCAGTTTGTTGTTTCATATTATACTGTCTGTTAAATACCCTCACTTTAATAAACTAGCCAAACTTCATTGGACAGCTTGTTGTCTGGTTTATCACGACGTGCTCTCGCATTTCGAAGTCTCAGGGCCCTGCTGTGAAACACCTGTAATCCCTGTTCTGCCAGAAAACTCTTTCCTTTTCCCACTGATACTTTATTTCCCTCTGCACAGCTTGTGAACATGGCAAGCAACCTCCCAAAACAACAACTGGTAACAGGAATGACGTGGGGAGGAGCAAAGACGCACTGAATATTCTGCTCGTCTGCCTTTCTGGCAGCAAAACTCCTGTTTTCCTAATGGAAAATCTGACATGCTCAATCTGTATCTTTTCATCCATGTCCAGCTCATCTTCTAGGCAGTTTTAGACTTTTATCCTCTCAGATGACAAACAGCAAAGGTCACTGAAATTTCTTTCTGATCCAACTGTGCTTCTTTGTGGTAAGTTATATGAGGGGCCGGTCTATTTTATCCTGGAACATACTGAACTCAAACTGCAGAGAATGACGAACAGGACTGTTGGTAAATACGAGCTTGCTGACAAAAAATGCTGGAGACTTCAGGTTTGGTTGACAGAGGAGCACAGGCAGAGACATGAAACGGCTTTGATTAGCACCAGCGATATGGGAAACTCAAGTGATGCCTGGTCCTTCCCCAAGGATGCCTTTTGCCCTCTGCCATCCAAGCCCACATTGTCATTTTGTAAGGTAAAGAGGAGCCGAGCGACTCCCAAGAAGTGCTAAGCTCCTTCATCTTTCTCAGGAGATAATGTGATGAAAGGCCGCCCTGAAACCCTCAAGAAGCATTCAGCATACGTCAGCATCAAGCCTTACTTATGACTTTCTCTTACAGTACATCGTTCTGGTTGATAAAGCTTGTTACAACATCTCTGGTCGACCAACGGCTCACATCTCTTCAACACAGCAACATTTTCACTGGTCCTGCCACAGCCCTTTACCTCAGCACTCTGAACTAACAGTCGAGGTCCTAAAGCTTGTCTGAAGTGATAAGGCAGTCTCAAGCTGACAAAATATACGTGTAAATAGCAGCGCAGTGTGATCCACACCGATTTGAATTTCTACAGTGTACAGAATGAGTACAGGTTATGTTTACTGTGGGACATCAAGCTGGCACATTGAGAACGTCATGCCAGCTATAATGTAGTGAACATACAAGGATAATTTGGCCTATATTTCATGTAGTAAGTAGAGAAAAAAATACGCCTGGAAATTTGGAAAAATCCTCTGAATATTCTGGAATTTATATTTTGGTTCTGATTGACAAGGCTAGGTCTTATAATATTAAGATCAAGTTCTGTTCTGCTATGGTTTTCATGGGAAGTCCACCTCGTTGCATACTGACTTTCAGTTGGAGAGTACTATAAGGATGTTTCCCTACCTGAGGAATGGATTTAACACAGAAATGATTCACTGGCACTTGGATAGCACAGATTGTAGGATATAGCAGAGAGGTCTGAAGGAGCAACGCCTGTGCCTGCCTGGCAAAGGAGAGCTCCCTGCTGTCCAAGTAAGGCATGGTTAAATTAAACACCTTAAACATCTAAATACTCTGTCTTAAAAAAGTCATCATCGTCTTTAATTCAGTGGAAAATCAAGAGAGATAAATTAGTGTGTTACTGAAAATACGCACAAGCTTTGAGAGATGTGTCAAAGCAACAGGAAAGCAAAAATTTCTTCCCTGTTTTGAGATGGCTTAATTAAAGTCTAACAAAACAAATAATTTGCTCTCAGGCATGGTCCAACAAGCTGCACTGGCCAGAGCAGAGCCCAAACCTCTCTCTAATCACTCGTTTCACAGACCTGAATGCTCTGATGGTGGTAAGGCCTTCAGCTGTCTCAGAAAAGTGACAGAGTAAAGGTAGCTGGGTGCTGTCGTCAAGTTCCTGGAGGTCCCTGGGAGCACAACAAAAGACATTTTGCAGCCATTACAATGTAAAGATTTCTGTCTGTAGAAATTTCACTGCATAACAGACAAGAACAGACATTTATCTCATCTCTCCTGGATTAAAAAAAAAAAAAAACAACAAAAAACAACCAAAAACCAAAACCTGCTGTCCAGTTTAACCATATCCTAATTACCTTTTGTTCTCAAACGTTCTAATTTATTAATATAATTAACTCAAATTCAGAACAGTTGATATTCAACTTTATAGCATGTTATTTGTGACTGTTATATCAGGTATGAATTAAAGTTTGTGTATCTGCAATTTTATCTATTCTATTGCAATGGTATCAGCTGGCCTAACAATACGGTTGCCTTTCCATATAAACTTTGTGTGCTGGCTTCAGCTGACACGACAATTTGCCTTATTTTGAGTATCTGTAGGTATCATGACATGCTGAACATAAAATAAAACAGACTATAGCAGACCTTCTATTTGTAGTGTTAACTTTATCACATGGGCTGAAAAAGAGACAGCACTGACAGAGGAATAATATGAATGAAAAATGTCCTCAATTATTCAGCAATGGTATTTTCAAGACCCACATGGAGCAGTGATTTAAGTCTAAAAAGTTCCAGTCTCCTGAAACAGGAACGTTTTCCAAACCACAGAGACAAATACATCTTTCTGTAATACTCTGCCATTGGCACAGCAACCAGTTGTATAAACAGAAGAGAGGCCAGATCATTAGATATTTAAACTCTTTATTAAAATCCTGCTATGTTTGCACACTGTATTGATAGGCCAGGAGAAATAACTGCTCCATGATGCTGAATGTTACAGTATACAGAACTGAATTTTCTGCTTATGTTTTGATGTTAAATACTCTCTCTTTCAAATTTATGATGGAAAATACACAGAAGTTTTTGAGAGGTGTAATGGAAAATACAACAAAGAGTCAAAGTGCTGCAAGGACTACTGTAAATATTTGCATTTCTAAAAATTAGTGAAGATTATATGCCTGGAAAGGGCTGCACGCAAGTAAGTTACAAATACTGGCTGAAGCCAGTATTCATCCTACATTTCCCGAGACTATTTTTGTCTAGAAATAAATTGGAGTTATTAATTTCTGATGTGGATTGAAAGAATTTAAGTCAACCCCTAAGTCAATTGACTTAGGTCAATTACTGTTTCACAAGTGATTAAAAGGAGTTTCATTTAAACAGATTAAAAATAAATAACTAAAATAAATAAAAAGCAATTAAAAAAATAAAAATAATAAAATAAAGTAAAATGAAGTAAAATGAAGTAAAGTAAAATG